AGGATTTACATAGGAGGTGTTCGCATCATGCCCTACATGATTGATTTATAATTCCAACATTTTACAATAAATTGATAGGTTCTTTGAGATCCATAGTTCATGCTATTGCAGAAGAATCATTAATGTCTATACTATTTGATAAAGTCTACCAACTGAAAAAAGAAATGGAAACAAATAATTTTTAATAACGTGTTTAAGAAGTTACCCCTTAGAAGATAGAAAGTGTGCATGAATCAGATGTGTTAGCTATCCTTAAAACCTAAGTGGCTTTTATCTTGAGGAAGTTTAATAATCTGGGGATGAATCTCATGCAAGGACTTCCACCTAACAATAGATTGATTCCAAGACCAGTGGTAGATCATAACATTTCTATTTTTAGAATTTGTCAATGTCATATGAAACCATGGCCATAACCCTTATTCCAAAACCTACAACCCATGTCAGAGGAAGCACCTAAATATCTCTTATAATAATAACAACCAACAATGGTGAAACACTCAAAAGAACCTTGTGGGTAACTGACCATCCCAAGGCAATCACCCTCAAGGGCAGCCATACCCACAAAGATTTCAAGCTCCCAACCTGCCTAAAAGAAATCACCTTTAAGGAGATAGTCATTCAAATGGGGAACACCAAAAATTTTGAAACTCGATTAGGACAGCATGTGAACTCAATGAATAATATACCCTCAGATGCAATGCTTAGTAATACTGAGGTAATTTCAAAATACCAAAATTTGGAGTACTGCAAGGTAGTAAAACTTAGGAATTAAGTTAGAAAAGGAAGCTAGCAGTCTGAATGATAGTACACTTGTGAAGGTTGTCATAGGAAAAGTTTTCTCTGTCATTCCAATTGACCCAACTGAGAGACTTCCCCCTCCGTTCCCTCAAAGACTACAAAAGCCTAGCAAGGACCCTAGTAGTTTCACAATTCCTTATGCCACAAGAACTTTGTGACTTAGTAGCAAGTATCATACCTTTAAACATTTTCAAACAAGTTGGAAGAGGGGAAATTAGGCCTGTAAATTTGACACTTCAATAAGCAGATCAATCTATGACTCAACCTCTAGGCATAGTTGAATGTCTATGTATTACGATGGATAAATTCATCTTTCCAACTGATTTATTATCTTGAATTTAATAGTTGATAATGAACGCATGTGATTTTTGGGAGACCATTCTTAGCCACTGGAAGGGTTATTATTGATGTTCGGGAAGAGAATGTAATTTTGTGAAAACATGATCAAGTAGTTACATTTGATGCTTTAAATTCATCAGACCTTCCCCAAGTTTACATTAATGATTTCATTCAAAAAACTAAATTGGTGGCCAGGGTAAGAAAAATCCAATCTCTTGAATTGAACAAGTTGAACCCAAAAAAGCAAGTGATATTGAAGAATTTTTGAAGAAATTGACTAACGATTGTATTACTCTTCCTATAGGAGAATTCCAATACCAAGACCCATAACTACTTAATCTACCTCATGGAATTACTGATTATCTGATTGAAAGTTAGAGGTTACTACAAAACCTCCACCGATGGATGGAACATGATCAATATGGGTGGGATAGATTTGAGCTTGTGTATGTCTGAGGTCTAGGCGGCTAGGGCAATGACAGTAATGCTATTGTGTGCTACAACGAGGGATACAAAATGGGATTTAAAATAGTATCTCTTACTTTAAGGACATTCAATAAAGGGAGAGGATAAGGACCGATGATAATATTTACACTCTTGATGAGATTGTTGCCTCGATACTCTTAGATTTCCTGTAGTCCTAGCTTGATCAAAGTAATTATTCTGTGGACTATACTACTTTGCAAAAGTATTTACAAAAATAAAATTTCTTTTGCCTATTAAAATAAACGCTACATGCATGAATATTAAATTAAAAATGAAACCTTATAAAGGTCCATGGTTAATCACTTGGATCGAGGTTAGGAATGCCCTCCATAGATTATTGGGTTGCTAGCTCTTATTCAAGGTAAGAAGAACACAGTGCAGCTCTGAGCCCCCACCTTTACCAATGTCTTACACTTCATTCTGATCTTCCATCTGTGATTATTGGTTTTCTTTACTTGCTCATGCTTTTCTATGGCTCACTCTCCAACTTTTTCCTTACCGGATGCTCCTGTTTACTTTCCTGTAATCTATTTAAATTTATTGCAAATATATTATTCTTTATGATGCTAACCATGCAGCGGTAACAAAGGCCTAGACACGAATTTACATTTTATGCATTGCAATCTTAGTTGTTTACCATACGACATTTTCTACTTGCATTTATTTATTTTACTTGCAAAAATAAATCAAAACTAAAATAAACAAAAACATATTTTCAAAATTAAATCTGCACTTTCAAAACAATGAATGAACATAATACACTCCTTTTGGGTTTACAAGGATTTCTCGGATGAGGTAACCTACGGTTGCTAACGGGAGTGCTATGGTTTAAATAAGCTTAACAACTAGTTTAGACTATGTAAATTCAAGACAAAGTAGTGGTGTCAGAATGAGGGAACCATAAGATCCTAACCGGTGTCACTCTAATTAAATTAAAATCCCCCATAACGGCACTTAAACAACAACCACAACAACAAAACTTGTCACTTAAACTACAAACCTATAAGTTCTTGCCTGGAGCTATCACTTTGACGAGGAGCTTGGAGCTAACTCTGTGGGAAGCATGATAAGAATGTACAGATGAACAACTTCGAGAGAGCAAACAGATCTACAACAACAATGCTTTCCTTATAATTAAATAACATGCCATAGAACTTCGAGGTAGCATGTCTAGTACAACAATAATCCTAAATTTATCTTTAGACCTTTGCATGTTCATGTTGTGTAACATAAGCCCTAACGAGTTTAGACTTTGAGTTTATCATTCTTTATGACATAAACCCTCTTATCTTTCAGTCTGTTTATATGACCTTGTCATGCAAGTGTAAGCCCTAAATAATAAAATTGGCAGGATGAAACCTCTCATAATATTTCCTTGAAATTAAAGCCAGACTATATGATAACTTGGGAAGTCTTCAAGGATTGCCTCAGGATCCGTGACATCCTCTAATTTTATCCCTTTGGATTCATAAATAACTATTATGATTTGATCTTTCCAATTTGATACTCCTTAGTTCGACCTTAAAAACTTTAAACTTTGAAGTTCTTAAAGACAATACCTTCTGATCTAAATCGAGAATTTTCTTAGGCGATTTCGATTGTCTAAGATGTAATTAATTATAGGAGTTATAGGAGCTTGCCCTTAGCTTGCCCTTATAGGAAACTTTGAAACCCAACTTAATGTAAACCCTGTCAAATCTTTTATATTAGACAGGAAAACTTGTCGGTTAACATAAATGTTTCGCAGACTAAAATGAACGTCATAAATTCCTTAATTTACTTAATCAAGTCTTACAATCAAGTAATGTGTCTATTTCTCGGGATAGGTATGTCACTTGTGATGTTGTGCTCGATCATGTAAATTATTGCATATATGAGATCAGTTCGGTCTCATATTTTTCAAAATAAAAATACAGTTTTTCATATATATTATGAAAAACTACGAAAGGTTGTCCAACTGATTGTAATCGTTCAAAAATGCAAAATTTTAGGTGGCATACCATTAAATAGAAAAAGGGCACAATTTACACATTCACACGTTTTGTGTTTCACAGTGTTGTGTGGTATGTCATTGAACAAAAAGGGACACAATTCACACATTCATAAGTTTTATGTGTTTCACATTGTTTTGTTGTATGCCATTGAACAAATACGGGCTGCCCTCTTTTCAAACGAAGTGTAGGATGATAACCAAACTGCATAAACAACATGTAACACAGAACAATAAAATAAGAATAACTACTAAGAAGGCATTAAGAAAGCTTACTGCTTTCTATAAATAGCTTAGGGAGTGAGTCAATAAGTGCTTCTTTCTTTTGGTAACTTCTAACAAGTTGATCCTTGACACTATGTGCTTCTAATCTTCTACTACTCGTGCTTTCTTTGTCTACATAAAAATAGATGACCCAGGGGCTCAAACCTAGCATTGTGTGTCCTTCCTCGCATAAAAAATTGTTATGGTTCTAACGATATCAGCAAAAAGAACATGCCCAAGCTGGACTCTTCACTACCAAGGCTGCGTGCTCAAAGCCATATCTTATCCTTCTTAATTTATTTGATAAAAAAGTGATGTTTTATGGACGCCAGATATTGTACCAGTACTCCTTTCTAGTAAAGCCTTAAAATTCAATAATGGGGATGGACAAAATGGATTCACTGGGCATTCCAGGGCTCAGTATGCTATTTTTGATAAGGAACAAGAAGCCATTGAGCCAACAGGTTGACCACCGGAACGCTTCTCGAAGCTTCTCTTTCAGATGTGATTTTACAAAACTTGCTATTTTCAGGAAAACTATAACAAAACTGAACAATTTCCTCTCCATAAAACTTTCCTCACCCTTCCATCATAGGCAACATACAAGTCCCGCATGTAAAACATAAGTTTCCTGCTCAAAGTTCCTGGAGTTGAGCATCTTCACTCAATAGATTTGCATGACCAGATAAAGCATGGAAGAAACATTCTAATGGGTTCAGACCATCAAGCAAAGAATATTTAATTACTGTTGGAATATTTTATTAGGACAGCCTAGGATTAAGGAATTAGTTTTATTTTCTTTAAATCTTGTTTTAAAGTTTTGATTTCTTTTAGCTATTTTTATGGAAGTTGATTAGGGAGCATTAAGCACTTTCTTTTTTCTCTGTTTTGTATTGGGCGGCAATTTAAAAAATGTGTTGCTGTTTTTTTTGAATGAGAACATTCAAACTTCTTCATATTCCTTCCTCCTCTTTCTCTTGTTCAAGAAACCTTCAATTGGTATCAGAGCTCATTTCTTAAGGGGCCTGTGTGTGCGTGCGACTGTTATGGAGTATGACACCAGTTTTTCCTCGATTGTTAACCCTTGTTCGACGGTGAGAACTATCAAATTTGGGCAGTACGCATGGAGAATTATCTAGAAGCCCTGGATCTCTGGGAAGCAGTGGAAGAAGACTACGATATTCCTCCTCTTCATGAAAATCACACTGTGGCACAGATTAAAGAACAAAAGAAGAGTAAGATGAAGAAATCCAAGGCAAAAGCCTGTCTATTTTCTGCAGTTTCCTCCACAATCTTCACTCGAATTATGTCATTAAAAATAGCAAAGGAGATCTGAGATTATCTCAAAGCTGAGTATGAGGGAGACGAATGAATTCGAGGGATGCAGGTGCTGAATTTAATTCGTGGCTTTGAATTGCAAAAGATGAAGGAGACAGAAAATATAAAGGAATACTTTGACAAGCTACTCAACATAACGAATCAAGTCAAATTATTGGGTTCTTCATTGGAAGATTCAAGGATTATTCAAAAAGTCCTTGTAACAGTGCCTGAAAGATTTGGGGCTACCATCACCACCTTAGAAAACACAAAGGATCTGACAAATATTACTTTGTCAAAACTCTTAAGTGCCTTGCAAGCACAAGAGCAAAGGCGTGCAATGAGGGAAGAAGGAGTCGTTGAAGGAGCCTTACAAGTTAAGCATCAAGAAGATAAAAAGAATTGGAAATTCAAGAACAAGAAGTCTCAAACCACAAATGGACAAAGTTCTACATCTGAGAACATAAGAAAAGTTGGAGTAAAGAAAGATTTTCCTCCATGTCAGCATTGTGGCAAAAAAGGTCATCTTCCTTTTAGATGTTGGAGAAGACCAGATGCAAAGTGCAGCAAGTGTAATCATTTGGGACATGAAGCTGTCATTTGTAAGAATGAAAATCAGCAGCAAGAAGATGAAGCAAAAATGGAAGATCAAGAAGAAGAAGATCATCTTTTCGTTGCAACTTGCTTCACGGGTCGTGAAACAAGTGAAAGCTAGCTTATTGATAGGGGCTGCACTAATCATATGACACATGACAGGGAGTTGTTTAAGGAATTAAAGAGTACCGAGTCCAAGAAGGTCAGAGTTGGGAACGGTGATTATATTGAAGTCAAAGGAAAGGGCACAGTAGCCAATGCAAGCTGTTCAGGAACCAAATTGATCACTGATGTTCTCTATGTACCAAACATTGATCATAACTTGCTCAGTGTGGGTCAATTGATAGAGAAGGGATTCAAAGTGATATTCATGAAGAATGCTTGTGTGATAGATGATGCTACAGGCCAAAAGATGTTTGAAATCAAGATGACAGGGAGGAGTATTTTACTCAATCCAATGCAGGAGGAGCAATCAACCTTTCTAATCAAAGAAAGTCTCTCAATGATATGGCACAAGAGACTCGGGCATTAACATTATCAAGGACTATTACAGATGAAGTCAAAAGGAATGACAATTGGGCTTCTGGAGTTTGATGATCATATACTATCCTGTAAGGCTTGTCAATTTGGAAAGCAAAATAGGAAGTCCTTTCCAAAATAAGCATGGAGAGCCACTCATAAGCAACAGTTAGTTCACACAGATGTTTGTGGACCTCAAAGAACTCCCTCATTAGCAGGTAGTAGATATTATATTGTGTTCATTGATGATTTCACTCGAATGTGTTGGATTTTTTTCTTAAAATTTAAATCAGAAGTAGCTGGAGTATTTTTGAAGTTCAAAAAATATGTGAAAAATCAAAGTGGCAATCAAATTCAAATATTAAGGTCTGACAATGGCAAGGAGTATACATCAAAAAATTTCAACACATTTTGTGAAGAAGCTGGCATTGAACATCAGTTAACAACTCCTTACACTCCACAAAAAAATGCAGTTAGTGAAAGAAGAAATAAATACATTCTAGAAATGACTAGATGTATGTTGCATGAGAAGAATCTACCCAAACATTTTTGGGCTGAAG